CATATGTTTAATCTTCAAATGATGAATGAATAGGAGAGATAATAATAATCAAAATTTATTCACCAATGATACTTGTTAATATTAATTAATATAATAAATGTTCGAGTATGAGTGTGTGGGAACTAAATTTGTATTCAGCAAAAGAAAAACTTAACTCCTTGGGAACAACTGATGAAACAAATGAGAGATTGGAATACACAAGAAAAATATATTAAAAAAGACCTTGGAATATATAAGTTTTTTTTGTGAGCTTTTATATTTTATTCTCCTTTAAAGCAATTTTACTTGCGTCATTTTTGACTTAATGGCAGCAAATTTGACGTAATAATTTTACAACTTTGGTGGCATTTCGTCAAACAACATCAATACGGTATAAAGCACCAATATCAATTAATATGTAGTTTTGCTGAAAAGAGTATACAGACAGAAGAAACGAAGGTCTCATTCTCTGTTGTGTTTGGTAAAGATGCGGAGGATTTTATTGGGGCCTGGGTACAACCACATGATGCTTAAGATTTGAGTTTTTTCAAGCTAAATCTAAAAAAATATTAAATTTAGGATTTAAAATAATTAGCAAGTTTAAATTTAATTCTCATGATAACATGTTAAATTGGAATGATTACTTGCTCAATTAACTATTGTTCGATTTCGCCTTAAAAATAGTGATAATGGAGACTTTTAAATTACATAATGTAGTAGATTCGCCAGATGTAGAATTTTGTTAGAGGAAAAATGAAAAAGAGGAGGAATTTTGGGTTTATATTCGTAACTTTGTCTCAGCGGTGGTAAGATTTCACGCTAAATTTTATTTATTTTTTAATAATAGGCGTATCATAATTATTCTTTAAATAATAAATAGCCAAAGAAAAGGCCGATGATTATTTCATTGTGATGCAAACCACCTTTCGAAATATTTGGATTAATGCGATGTTTGCAGTTAATTTATTATTATACGCAAATTGACACATATGGTCATTTATAATATATTTAAAAACTGTTTTTCTACTTTTGATTTATACTATAATAGTAATAGTGATAATAAAAGACTTTGTGACAGTCTTATTGGTATGTTTGTAAGTATTTACCAAAAGTTACGAAATCAATCTTTTTAGCTTCAATGTTAAATTTTGTGGAATCAAAATTAATTTATTTGTTCAAACAATGAATTAATTAGAAAGTTCAAGAAAATTTGAGAACCTTTAGATAATTTATTTATAGTAAATAAATAATACTGATTAATAGTTATATTGTCTTTAACGATTAGACTTGGCAACACGTTCTAAAATATAATCAATTAGTTGATATTAAATTTTTTTTAAAAACAATAAATAGGTCAAATAATAATTACCTAATTCGTCTTTCTTTTTAATGGCATATGAATTTGAACTTCCCTCTAATTAAAACATAAATTTTTGTTAATTAGAATTTTTTCTTTTTTTTAAATCAAGACCAATAAAAATGAAATGAAATACAAACTAGCAGCATTAATTAATTCATCGGCCAAACATTCAGCAATACTTTTAACATTTCTGAAAGCTGATTCACGTGTCTATTATTACCATGTTATCATTATAATATATTTAGAAACATATTCAAAATAATCATAATCATAATAGAAAATTTTTGTAAAAGAAATGATCACAACTTACTCCAATTGTTAATAATGCAATAGATTGATTCACTCTACGAAGAGGTGAAACATCAACTGCTTGTCTCCTAACTGTGCCTGCACTACCAATACGAGTTGAATCTTCACGCGGACCAGTGTTAATTATAGCATCAACCAAAACTTGAATAGGGTTTTGATCAGTTGAAAGGTGAATAATTTCAAATGCGTGTTTTACAATTCTAACTGCCATTAATTTTTTTCCGTTATTACGCCCGTGCATCATAAGTGAGTTGGTCAATCGTTCAACAATAGGACACTAAGATTTTTTGAACAAGTAGATTATATGTATGAGATTTTGATTCTTTTAATTATCAACATTAAAAAGAAAAACATTATTTACTTGTGCTTTTCTAAATCTTTTTGTGGAAAAACGACCAGCTGTATGCGGTAAATAAACTGGATTACGAATTTGTATGTAGTCTGTCAATGATATATCTTTTACTTCTACATCATCGTAAGTCCATTTATTAAATAATAGAATTCCTTGAGAAGCTGAAGCAATATCAGTAGGAAGAGCCATGATACACTTTATATATAAAAATGATTATAAGTTTGAATGTTGTATTTTTTTTTAATCAAAAAAAACAAAAAAGGATGTAATCATCCAAAAAAAAATTTTTGTTAATATGGGGATCTACAATCAAAAAATCAAATTATAAGAAGTTACACGAACAGAAATTATAATAATATTAGCTATTAAAAAATGCACAATTTAATCAAGAGTGACAAATTTTGGGTCTACTATCATCACAGCATCATCATCATCTTGTATAATAATAGTTTCATCATCATTAATTGATAATTTTTTACGAAATTTCGATTCAGCCGAGACACTAACAATTTCTGATTCATCAATTTTTCTTTTTTTTGATAAATTGTCAGTGAATAAGGATGATAAGGATGATGTTGGTGATGGTTGTGAAGGTGATTTTGCATCTATTTCCATAGGTTTGGGGATCCTAAAATTTCCATCGACCTGAAACCAGACATCTGGAGAATCAAAAGATTCCCTAAATTTGATTAGAATATAAATATAAATTTAGTTGTTAATCTTGATAAATGTTTGAATTTTTTTCAATAAAATACATTATTTATTACTTGTGAGATATTGAAAAGATTGCTGGTACATATTCATCCTCTGGTGTCACCATCAACATTTTACCATCAGTGATTGTTAATTGTTCAAATGTAGAATCAAGGTTATCATCATATTCAACATCGTATAACATTCTATTGTAGAGATTTTTTATTTAATAAGGATTTTTTTTTGCTTTACCATGTAAATATGCATTCATACACACACACACACACACACATATATAATACCTACCTTCCATCTTGAGTCACCATATAATCACCAATGTCTGTTTTATCTTGATCATCTAATAAAACAATTTTTTCAAGAAATTCTCTTAATGTAGTTTTCTTGGTGTTAATCTTCAATGATACATATGCATTACTACAAATAAGACAATTTGGTTTTGGTTTTTTAAGTGACTCTGAAAGAAATACTTGTGGCAGTCTTGATCTATCAAAGTATACCTATTTATAATTAATAAAAAAAATTTTTAAATGTTAATAATAAAGATAATTTTACTCCAACTAAAAAAAGAATTTTATTATAGTTAAAAATAAATGTTACAGTTTTGCATTCGTTTAATTTTCCATTAAGAATTTTGAATGATTGCATCACAATCATTCCTGCAATGATGGCATTTGTTGTTGCAATTGCTGGAATAATATTACCAGCCATTGCTAAATTTTCCATTAATAAACAAAACCAATTGTAAAGATATTTAGTTACAATGATATAAATAGATTAATCTATAGTCAAATATCGTATTTTATATGATAATCACCTTTAACATCAAAACATGATTTTCTTTCAATGTCAAATACAAACGCCCTTAAATTTGATGTAGCAGTCACAAAGTCCAACGTGTCTATGTCATCTTTGTCAAAAGAAAGTGAAGCATTAGGATTTGATGATTTTTCATATAATAATCTTGAACTCAATCTTTGAATGCTATAAAAAAAAAAAAATCAAATTAAATAAAAAAATCACAATATCATTAATGTTGTTAAAATTAGTTTTCATTTGTTGTTGATAATTAACCTATCTTTGAATACTAGAAGGTTTTCCTTAAGACTCCAAACATTTCGATTTCTTGCTATATTTTTATTTGTTGTCATATCAATAGATTGTGAATTATTATCATCAATTGAATTTTCAATAGTTTCATAATTCAAAGGTTTGGGTGGTTTTCTTGACTTCCACATATCTTCCATGCTTAATAAACGTACGATATCATCAGAAAACACCTTTTGAAAAACCATTCTTGGAAAATCGTCAGATCCGATCGCCTCTCTTATTTCTTTTAAAATTTGAGTTTCCTTCTTAAGATTAGAAATTTCCTCGGCTTTAATATACGTATATATATATATATGTTTATTGATAAAAATTATTTTTTTAATCAAGGTATGAATAATAACAGTATTAATCAATATTTTTTTAGTACCATTTTCACCATTAAGTGATGTATCCAATTCTGAATCATCATCATCTTCAGGTATTCCAAATAACTGACTAGTAGAGATATATTAATCATAAAACTAGAATAGTTTAACAAATTAAAAAAAAAATTATAATAATACCTGAAAAGATAACTTTTTGCCCAAACAATACAATGTATTGGACTACTTGGTGTACTACGAATAGTACAGATTGCATATGTTTTTCTTGTTGGTTTTGGTAAACAATCATAACATTCTGTTTCTCCCTAATTGATTTTGTATATATAAATTTTTATTCTATATTAAATAAATATTTTGAAAAAGTCACCATTGCCAAGTAATAGAATCTTTGAATTTAACCTTTTTTATAACTGTAACTTGTCCCAAGTATCCTTCTGTTCCAGATTCGATTAATGGTACATTTGCAGCTAAGCACATCTTGTTCACGTGACGTCTGGCATCTTAGCAATTAATATAAATTTTTGATATTAATTTAAAAGGATAAGGTTTTAAAAATATGTATTTATGTAAATCATTACCGAGATTGTCTAAGGCATTCATTACGATATCAAAACTTTTAAACCATTCTAGATTGAATTGAAGATCCTTAATATTGGCATGATGTGAGGTTATATTTACATTTGGATTAAACTTCAATGCTGATTCTCTTGCTACCTAGTAAGCAATAGTTGAATAAATACAAAATAAAAACAATTTGAAATCAAAGAAAGATATTTGATTTGATTAAATACTTCAGCTTTTGATTTTTTGATATGTTGTTTTTGAAATAAAAATTGTCGATTAAGATTTGATAAGTCTATTGTATCTAAATCAATCTATTTGATGTGATAATAAAAATATGCGATCAGTAAAGTAGTTCACAGTATGTTAAACTTAATTTCTTAATCGTAAAGTAAAAAGACCAGCTAACCAATTCAATTTCTTGAAAACCTGACATGACAAGGTTTTTCAAAAGTTCACAGCCTATTCCACCCGCTCCAACCATTAATACTCGACATTTACTTATTTTTTCAAATAGTTCTGAGCCAAGGATTGTGTTTAAATGTGAATTTCTAGTCATCTTGTTTACTAATATATAGAAAACTCTATATTATTATTTTTAAACACATGAGTTCAATTTACTTTTATGGGAGATCATTGAAGAAAAAACGAACACAAAAAATTGAGATTTTCATTCGGACACAAATCAAAAAAAAAAAAATAATAATAAGGACTTTTTTTCATTACAAGATCTGTTAGATCTTTTATTTAATTATTCTTTTTTTAAAAAAAAAAAAATGAAGAACATGGCTAATTTATCAAGGAATTTAACATTTATTAAAACTGTCAAAGGTTATAATCTAAATTTCGTAAGTATTCTTTGGATTTTTTTTTTTAATCAATTTATATTATAACCATTCTGAATCTAAGGAATATTTAGAAACAAGCTTGTCTAATACGTTCTTTGAGAACTAGCTCTTCTCAAAAAGCCGAAGTGCAAGTAAGTTAATTAATTGATTTTTTTTTAAAAATTTAATTAGATTTCTATTTAATTTAAAATAAAATAAATTTTTATTTTACAAGGCAAGCGCTCCCTCCATTACGGAAACGGCAATTAACAAAAAAGAACCTTTATATAAATCCTTTTCTATTTATCGATGGGTAAGAGTTTATTAGAAATATAATTGATCTACTACTAAACGATCATTTATATTAATTACTTGTAATATAGAATCCGGATGAACCTTCAGTAAAACCAAAATTGGTTGATTATAAAATAGACCTCAATTCTTGTGGTCCTATGGTGCTTGATGCATTAATAAAAATTAAAAATGAAACGGATGCTACATTAACTTTTCGACGTTCATGCCGTGAAGGAATTTGTGGTTCTTGTGCTATGAATATTGATGGCATAAATACTTTGGCATGTCTTTGTAAGATTAATCGTAATTCCAGTTCTACTAAAATTTATCCATTACCTCATGGTAAGTTATTAATATACACACATAATTATAAATATATATTTTTTCATATGAAAAAAAAAAAATTAATTAATATTATAATTAACAATTTATAGCGTATGTTGTGAAAGATCTTGTTCCAGATCTTACCCATTTTTATAAACAATATAAATCTATTGAACCATACCTTAAGAAAAAGAATCCACCAAAGGAAGGTGAACGTGAAAATTTACAATCAATTGAAGAACGTAAAAAATTAGATGGTCTTTATGAGTGTATTTTGTGCGCATGCTGTTCTACTTCTTGTCCAAGTTACTGGTGGAATTCTGATGAATACCTTGGACCAGCAGTTTTGATGCAAGCTTATAGGTGGATGGCAGATTCTAGAGATGATTATGGTCATGAACGTCGTGAAGCTTTACAAAATCCATTTTCGGTTTATCGTTGTCACACTATCATGAATTGTACTAGAACATGTCCAAAAGGTTTAAATCCAGGTCGTGCTATTGCTATGATTAAAAGAGAAATGGCTTTAGAATAAAGAATAAAGAAGATTATTTTGATCTATTATATATATATATATTATTTATTTTTTTATTAAATAAATATAAAGTTTTTCAAATAAACAACGCGTTTGTTTATTAAATTTAAAAATATAAAATGTCGAAATTTTCAATTGGTCATATATATCAAATTCCAGTCAAGAAGCCGATCATACTTTATCTTTATTACAAATGTTCAAATACAACAAGAAGTAACTCCTGTAACGAAAAGTGATGAGCTGAAAAGAAAATCAACTTATTGTATGTAGATGAAATTTTTAGCCTTTACATATCAGTGTATAATTGTAGGGGATAAAGAAAATAACATAAAAAAAATTGGACAGACGCGGAAACTCTTTGTTTAATTTCTGTTATTAAATGAGTTGATTTGATGATTACAATGAATAAAATTAAAAAAACAAATATATATCCAGGTGGAACTGTTAAACACAGATAATAACTTATATATTACATATCATTTTATAGATGGGTCAAGTTATCAAAAACTGAGAATTAAGTGATTCCCCAGTAGACCTGAAACTTGGTGAAGATCCGTCTACAATACATTGAAGATCATACGTTGTTTAATTGACAATCCGAGTGAATAAATACATAGTAATAGTGATCAGCAGGGGAAATTGACCAATCAGAAAAGTTGTATTATTATTATGCTTTCGTTCCACTACATAATTTTTTTTACAATATGTAGAAAAAATCTCAATTGTATTAAAGAAAAAAAGCCTTATTTGATAAATTATCGTGTAATATTCGGCTTTTAACATTCCCTAATTGAATAATACACTTTGGAACTTGGAGTTTGAAATCAAAGTAGACATATTGAGTAAAAAAAAAGTTTATATATTATGTCATTTTACATTTATGGCCAAATTTCAATTGAATTCATTGTCATTAATTTTTTTTGTCGATCTTTTAATATAATAAATTGATCGACGTTTCTTCCATTCATAGACGGATTAATCTCTTTGCTAATTGTGCCTAGTACCTAGAATATCTTCACGTGTTAAATCACGTTTTAGAAATCTTATTGGCATTTTGCTAACGTTTCAATAATTCTTTGATCGTTATCTTTTTTTAAAAACTTTTGAAACCTATATAGAAAAACCAATTGACTTATTTAAATGGCCCATGCTCGTCTTCAAGAATAAAGATTTGAAGAGCATCATAAAATAATCAATATCGCAGAATGCATTTGTCTGAACAAAGTTTAGATTGTTGTTTTTTGTCTTTCCATATAACATCATGATTCAAAGTCTTTAAATTTGATTTTTATGTTTAATTGAATAAATAAATATTCGGTGATTCAAAAAAATTGCAAGTTTACAGTAAAAATTATTCACGTGGAATATGTGGAAAAGTATGCATTTATTTTCTTGTTAATGAAGGAATATCAGCGGGTCATGTCCATTCTTCCGACAGACCCTGTTGCCGTTATACTAACAGGACATTATATCGGCAACTTAAACAGCTTAGCCGGCTAATAAATGATTTAACAGACTTAAATAGATTGGCCAGCCAATCAACCAACATCACCAAATATATTAATATGTCATTTAACGGATAATGATAATGACATGATATGGTTATGGAAAAACAAAGAATATTATGCTAGGCTGATAGAATGTATTAGAAAACGTCTTGTCAGTATAATGTCCTGTCGGTATAATGGCGTCGGGAAACATCTTTCAGGGGACCAATATCAACGAATTACAAATTTTATGATCAATATTAATGCATTAATTAAAAAAATCACGGCCACCAACCAATTTTGGTGGTTTAGGAAACATGTATTCTTTTTTTTTGACTTTTTTTCCTACCTTTGTCTTAGCAATAGGTCAATTACATTTATTCAATCACCACATCATTACCGTAATAATGACCATCTTGTTGTGACTTCATATTACAAAATGGTTTAAAAGTTTAAGTATGATATTGCCATATGTAAGGACATCATTTTTAGAGGCATATTTCAAATATGATGGCAGTTTTGGATTAATCAAAAAACTCTACAGAAAAACAAGTGTAATAGATTGTGTGGATCAGTAGTTGGTATGGTGAAAAGATCTACAGTCAAACCTCGATAAGCCGAACTTTTGGGAATCACAAAAATAGGATCGGCTTATCAAAATTCGATTTACGATACACAGGGCTGGAGCGTAAAGGGTTAAAGGCCTAATCATCTTGACTAAACTTGACTAAACTTGATTGTTGGGTGATCGACCATTTTTAATCATCATAAGACGAATTTTTATGATCATATTCGGCTTAGAAAGCTATATTTTTATTATCTTGTACAAACCATTAAGTT